AAGAGTTCTGTATGACTTCTAGTGTGATCTTGTGCAAGTCATCAAAATGTTTTGAATTTAAGTTTTAGTATCCAGAAAAGGATGACAATCTTTATCCCACAGAACTGGACAATTAAATGAAGATTTTTCTGATCACTGCACTATTAAGGTGCCCATTATTCAGATGAGTGGACAATTTAATAATATATGTAATTTATGGGGTTTTCAAGAGTCATTTTGACTGCAGGATTTTTGCCTTACCTGTTGACATTAAAATCCTTGGTTAATTGGAACCCCACTGTAAGCCTTTGAATGACAGTAGGTCTAGTGTCTTCAGAAGATCTCCTTGGGCTATTTCTACTGTTGGGCTATCGATGAAAGATAGGTAACTAGTCTAGCGACTGCCCACATTAAACAAGTGTATGTTTGCTAATAAAAGCTATGGTGGGGGCAGAATGGCAACTGAGAGCAACAGAGTTCGAAAAGGAACTGTCAACTGGTCATCCAGCAGGTATTTTGTTTTCACTTACAAAGCAATGACTCAAAATAATTTTTGACAACTTGACTTAATGGTTTGTGTCAACATCTGGTTCTGACGACAACCAGAAATATTTCAAGGGTTGCTAAGCACCACATTTCAAAGTTTTTTATTTAGAATATTCCTTGGAATAATTTTTAGGTATTATAAAATATTTTTAAATGATAATTGAGTTCATCTGTGATCTAAAGAAGCAAAATATCATTAAAATGAGTAGGACTGCATTAATATATAAAGGTCTTTATTCATGCTTTAACTATGTAACCTAGATCCTAAAATCCAAGGAAAGAGAATTAGAGAAAATAAAAAAGTACAAGGGAAGGAAATGAGGAATGAATTATTTAATTTTATTTGATTATTTTCATTTACAGTTCTGGCACTGACACTTTTTTTTTAAAAAAAAGATTTTAATTTTATGTAAATATTGAACTTCAATAAAATAACTTAAAAAACATTTACATGTATATCACTAAATCTCCATAAAATATACAATACTTTTGATACAGCATAGGCTAGAATGACTTTGAAGGAAATGGTACATATTCATAATTTTTAAGAGATATCCCATATGTCACTTTTGGGAATAAATATTTATATTGAATTTGCCAAGACATGTGAAGTATTAAACACTATATAACATGCACTCAGAAATTAAAATATACAGTTTGAAATACATATATTTTAAAGCATAAAACTGTTTTGACTTAATAGATGTACATCAGAGCTTCTAAATAGAAATTTGAACATTTATTACAAATAAAAGATACTATAACGCCAACTGAGATATAGTCCAAAAGCTGCTAGGAAACAGTTTGAACATGTAGAATATAAATGTCTACTTTGGCTAGAGACAAATCTCATCTTTTTAACCTTTAAATGAGATGGAATAATGTTAAATTTGCTAAAATTTTAAAACTTTACAAAGTATTGGCTTTCAGTTTAAGTACCAGTTAGCTGCATGGTCCACTTCTTTTTCTCATTTATATTAATATGACAAAAACACATGAACTTAATGTCTAACATAAAAATCTGAATATTACTGTTAAATGAAGATATTTAAAATTTCATACACCAAATTACTCAAGTACAACAAACCATATTTTATAATATATAAATTAAGGATTTATAGAAATTATATTTTACACCCACAAGCAAATTATAAGGATAAAATATCTTCATGTACTTCTAAACATCAACACTCTTCCAAAACACCTCCCTGATGATTTATTGGCACTCAAAAATTTCCTTTTTTAAAGACAGAATATACAAGAGAGAGATGGTAGCAGTTAACTGTTTGGCATTTTTAAATGATTGCTATTTCTAGAATATAGCAGCAATATTGCTCACCTAGAAGAACTGAATGTACTGATAATTTATACACTGTTACAACCTGAACCACTTCATCAAATTAGCTTAATGTTATTGTACATGAGGCTCAGGAGATTGATGAAAGTGATAGGAAACAAGACATTAAAATTAATGCAAAGAATAATTCTGAATCTTATTGGCAGGTGTTACATATGAGCTGTAAATTTTACCCCATAATTTAATATATTTTGCTACGAAGCACATATTATTAATTCTCTGCTTCTGGCCTGATATGTCATCTAATTCTTTTATTCCTAAGATAAAGTATTAATTTGGTAATTGAAAACTTAGATATTTAGTATAATTTAGTATTTTATGACTTAGAAAATGGTAAAAAAAAACTTGGTAACCATCTCATTAATTTTATTTTTAATTATTATGTTGATGAAATAAAATCAATAATCCTCCAATTCTCCTCACTGTATTACAGTATTTATGAACTTTATTAGTGTCATTACATTATATACTGTGAAACTTTCTTAGATAAACATATGGATAGTGTTTTCTAAAATATCCTTCCACTCCCTCAATCTTCTGGATCTGTGGGTTATTATATTTTCAATTTTACTTCGCTATTTAAAAGCAAAAGGGAAGTTGCCATCTTATATTTTTCCTGATTATTCTTCCCTGTATAAGATACTGAAATTATAGTAAAAAACGTATAACTTTCTTGCTTTAACTGATTTCCCATTTTAGAGTGAATAACTTAAATAATATTTAGGAAACTCTTCTGTACTAAAATCTGGTTCAGTGGTAAAATTAAATTATGAAAAAGCATTTGGTAGCATTATTCTCATATCATTTTCTATCAGGGAACTAACTACTGCGTATGGCTGAGAACAAATTTAAAATAGAAACATTACCTTTTATTATTATTTAGATCTTTCTACATATACATATTAAAAATACTCATGTTTTGGGTAATGATTAGGTTAGGTGCAACAGTCAAAATTATTAGGAATGTTTACTTACATTCAAGAAAAATATTGACAGCAAATCCTTTTTTTTTTTTTTTTTGAGACAGAGTCTCACTTTGTTGTCCAGGCTAGAGTGAGTGCCATGGCGTCAGCCTAGCTCACAGCAACCTCAAACTCCTGGGCTCAAGCGATCCTCCTGCCTCAGCCTCCCGAGTAGCTGGGACTACAGGCATGCGCCACCATGCCCGGCTAATTTTTTTTTTTTTTTATATATATATCAGTTGGCCAATTAATTTCTTTCTATTTATAGTAGAGACGGGGTCTCGCTCTTGCTCAGGCTGGTTTCGAACTCCTGACCTTGAGCAATCCGCCCGCCTCGGCCTCCCAAGAGCTAGGATTACAGGCGTGAGCCACAGCGCCCGGCCGACAGCAAATCTTTTTAACATTACATTCAGCTCTGTGTTTTCATATGCAGACCAAATAGTATATTCTCTTATGTCTAGTGCAGATCAGCCATCCAGCTAAGTTTCAGTAGGTACTAGAACCATCTTCACTGTATTTTCCTAAAACATAATATAGCTCTATCTGCAGCATGTTTAGAAGGAAACCTATAATTTCAGTTGAAAGCATGATGCTTAATCGGTGTCTGTTTTAATATGGCAGGTCAAATTGTATCTTATATAAATTGTCCTATAAAATATATATTTGATGATATTTCCAATGGAATGTTTTCAAGTTGATAGTGGCAGCCAAAGACACTGAGAACTTAAGGTGCATAATATAAAAAAACCTGAAAAATTTAAACATTTAATTTTTAATATACTATAAATGTTCACCAAATCTAAAAATAATACCCTAATTGTATAAGGTTCCTTTTCAAGTAGTTATTTGTTTCTAAAAAGTTATAAATAATTCTTATACTGTGCCTCTCTGTCTTATACTTCAAAGATATGGAATATTATCTTTATCACTATATAAATAACAAATAGTATTTTAAAGAAGGGGCTGAGGAGAATGGGGGAGGAGAACTGTGGCTAATTTTCCCTGTTACTATGTGCATTTATGGATATAAAGTTGAAAACATTTTTTTTCTATGTCAGGGAGAACAGGCCATGTTCTGCTTTAGGAAATAATATGAGTCCAGTTGCTCCTTTAATAAAGTTACTGTGCATCAGCCCAGTTGAGATATAAGTATATAGTTAAGGCTATGTATACAATAAAGAGAAGAATTGAGGCAATTATTTGGGTAAATCAGAAAAATAAATTTTTAGAGAGCACTTTATTGGTCTAAATGTTTTTTCTTCCTAACATATTCTGATTGTACCACACAAGAGCTCATTTTCCCCCTCACTTTACCTGTGTAAAATACACAGATAAGAAAGTTCTTATTGGGATAAGAAATATCAGTGTAATAATAATTTTTTTCTATTAAATCATATCTACTTTTCTAGGGGAAAATCAATATTAAATATCCCCTTAAAATCAATTTTCAAAGCACCTAATTCAATGAATTCTAAAATATTAAATTTTTTTATTATATGAAATGACCAAAGGGAGAAAACTTTTTTTTTGGTTGAAGGACTTTTAGGGCACTAATGTGACTGGTTAAGCACATATTATACCTCTAGTGACTTAGAGAATGAACTTTCACAGGTATATTTTTAGCTTGATAATTATGATAAGAATAAGTTAGACTTTGAATTTATAGATATCCTCCTTTTCTCCCCAACTATAGTACCTTATTAGATGTTTAGAGACATTTTAAAATGCATCAAACTGATGCATTCCTAACACAGAAGATTCATTCATATTTTTACTGGAACTAGCAAGTAATTTTATACAGTTCTTAACATACTTATACAGTTCTTAACAGAAGAGCAAAAATTAAGAGTTCAGTGATGAATGACTATAAAAACCAGTGAAGACTTTGGAAAGACATTGTAGAAATGTAAGTCAGCATTTCTTATAGACATACTATACTAGAAATATTAATAGGGAACTCAATCTTTAGACAAAAAGGAAAAAAATTGAAGCCAAGAATGAGAAAATGAAAACACTCAGATAAATCTATGTATTTTTTTAAATTGAGAAAAGGTGTGCAAAATTAAAGCTAGTTTATGACCTTAGAGTAAGAAAGACAAGTAATAAAATGTGACAGTTCCCTTAGGAAGAGTTGTTAAAAAGTTGAGAAAAAAATGAGTCCCATTATTTTAATTAAACATCAGTAACAGCAGGATTATTTCTGCTACTGATTTCCTTCCTCTTTTTTATTTCTGAAATTATTATTTGACCAAAAGGGAAAAATAGTCTGCGTGCAGCTATTTATATAACACAAATGAAGGCACAAAATAGGACTCCAGAGCCAATGAGGAAGGTGTGGTGATTTTGGCATGAACAAAAACTGACCCTGATATATAGTTAAGATATATAGTTAAATATCTGGCACTATTTTGCATTTACAGTTGCATATCTAAATGACTAACCAATTAAGAATCCATAAAAATCATCTTTTCTTTGTTATTTTCTGACAGTTTTCTTACCAAAACTTGCTAGTTTATCTGTGCAAAAGTATACTTATAACTAATGCAAAAAACATGTATGAAAATAATCCCTAAAAGACCTGCTTTTTGATATATTCAAAAGATCCTGTGCAGAGTCAGTTTCTGAAGAACTCTCAATGTCTGAATTCGAGACAGAAATCAAAACTTGGAATCCAAAGGAGAAAAGAATAGCTGTGCCCTTGTAGGAGGCACTTTTGAATTGGCTGATGAAAGCTTAAATGGAATTTACTTCCTGACAGCTGATCACAGATAAGCCACTACTACCTCTTAGAAAAATTTAGGGCCAATAGGCCATGTTTGACATAGAACACCCTTGGACCATCTCCCAGAATTTTCATTTTTTCGTGGAGAATGCCATGTGAAATAATTCTTTATAAATATATATATGTAATTTGGTTAGATTAGCACTGACTATTGCCACTAAAATTATATATGGTCTTAGGAAAAAAGGATGCCACTGAAGTCACTGGGTATAGTATTCATTTTAGACTATCTCAAGAAGGGATTACACACATTTGCTCAACAATTATTAGATTAAAATCTATGTAAATATATATCTTTTGTATTCCTGCTCATGAAACAAAATGTCATCATGGTTGTATCTTCCTCCTAATCAAGTATTCTAGAATATGAAGTCATTTAAAACTAGACTGTGGAAAGAACCAGATTAGAAACATGGCAGTGAGGTCACCAATTGCTGTTCTTCTCCCCCAAGTTTGTTTAAATAACTAAATCTATCAGCAGCTGAAAATTATTCCACATCAGAAGCATCATTGTCAGAAAGATGATAGTTACTTCCCTTCACCCGAATATATTCAATATATCTCCCTTCATCAGAATCTGAAGTGCCACATGTGCACAGCCTGTTGTCAAAGAGTGATTCGATTTCCTCTAATTTTTTCCCTTTGGTCTCAGGAAGACAGCCATAGATGAAAAGGAGTCCCACAGCAGCAAATCCAGCATAGAGGAAGAAGGCTCCTACAATGGAAAAAAAAATGTATACATGAAGGAGTATTGATTTTGACTTTTTTTTCCTGGTCAATCATGTATAACCAAGGTATGAAATGGGACCAAAAAATTACTACCAGCTGGGTTTACTCTAATTGTTCTAACCCTGTGAATGTAATACAATTTATCTTTCTAAACTCAAGTCATGTAATGCCAAACTCAAGAAGAATAACAGACTCAGGTCAGGTTAAATTCTGCTTTGAAACTTTTCCTCAGTTCCCTGACTAGAGGGAATTACTCTCTCCAATGTGCTTTTACAGCACTTTGTTGAGAATCCCTATCATAATAACCAAGAAGTATTATGTGTGTATATATGTTTGCTTTGTCTATTAGACTAGAGGCACTTTGAGGCCAGGAGACGTTTATTATTCATCTTGCGTTTCCAGAACCAAGTACAATGATGACGTTGTTGAATTATTACCTCAGTGGCATGTCTGGCAAGTCCATCTTTCCCCTTTCTCATGCCCCAAACCTAGGAATCTTCCTGGACTTTTCTCTTACTCTCACATCCAGCATCCCAATCTGTTAGGAAATCCTGTTGGATCTGCCTTTAAATGTAACCTGAAGATGATCACTTCACACCGCTTCCACAAATATCAATGGTTTAAGAGCCATCCTCTCCTCTCTGGACCATTGCAATAATCTCTTAACTGGTCTCCTTGTTCCTTCTCTTGGACCCCTATAGTCCATTTTTTCCCCCTCAGTCTCACTTATCATCATCTGGCAGACAATAATGTTTACTGATTTGTTTTTGTTTCTCCCCACTAGTGTGTAAGCTCTGTGAGGTCAGGGAATATTGTTTTGCTGTAATATTATGCATGTCAATGCAGCATACCAACAAACATGTAAATAGGAAGCAACCAGGTAGTAAGTGTCGATATAGCAAGCCTAGATGGATGAGATATACGAACGTATGACTTGTTTATATTATCTACATATTTCCAAGATGGACTTTCATTTATAAACTAATTCCCATCTTAAATATAAGAATGTATACTTTTACTTTTGATGGTGGAAAATGACTAACTATAATGGAGTCCCTGCCTAATTTTAGGCCTTTGGTCCGGACCATTCTGTAAATCAGATGGGGGAAGGAAGATAAAAAACTAATATGACTAATGGCTGGAGAAAGGATATCAGATTGGGTGGAAGTGGGAAGATCTGGGATTAAGTCTTGGCTATGTGACTTCTAGATTAGTCATTTAATTTCTTTGGGCCTCAGATGCCTCATTAACCACTTCGGTACGATTGTGGACTATAGTCGATAGCCACAGATGAACGCACGCACAGCCCAGGGTCAACTTTAGCTGACAGCTATGATATGACTTTTCTAATTTTTCATTTATCAAAATAAAATTGTGAACTTTTAAAAATTGTGAACTTTTAAAAAACGTAATGAAAACGTATATGTATATGTTACCTATTCTGATTTATACTACAAGTAAAGCTGCCTGTAAAGTAAAACAAACTTTCAGTGCTTTAAAGCTTCCCTCATCACACAAGAGCAAAACGGATTCGTGGTCAATGCACAGCACAGACTATCGTGCGGACCGTGAGTGCCGGCTGTGGGCAAGGTTTCACGGCCGGTGAGCGCTGTACTGAAGTGGTTACGTAAAATAAAATGGTTGCTCAGCTCCTATTTAAGTGCTGGCAGTTTATGATTCCATAAATCTTATGGTCAAAATCAGGAGCAGATACAAGAGAGATGGTTAAGAGACGCCCGAGAGGGAGAACTGCTCTTCTGTTCCAGTGGCAAAAGTGGTCTCCTCAAGGGTCAGCGTCTATGGCTTGTCTTTGGGTTCCCAGTGCCTAACACATGGTTACTGTCTTAATACTTTCTTAATAAGTAACCATTTCCAGAATATCCATAGAAATATATTTTGGAAAGACTCAAGGAAAACTATGGAGGAAAAATGCTGATGAATTGACCACCCAACAGAATCTTCTCTGTAGAATGAGGAGCCATGAGAAAACGGAAGGGAAACAGAGGTAAATTACGTGACATTAGAAAAAAACATGAAAGGGTTATTAACTAAATCAAGACATAATTTGTTAAAGCTATATTAACTCTTTAAGGAGCTAGACTTGTATAAATCAAATTCCCTTTGTTTAATAAAAATACAACTCTATTTACAAATATAAGGCTCTTTCAGTTTGGTTCAGATTAAACATTTACTGTAACCTTTTTTTTTTATGGCTTATACGTGAGAAGTACTCAGAAAAATGATACTAGGTCATCTGGGATGCATGGCTGAGAGTTTCTATGAGAGAAAGGCTTCATGGCTCTGTGGAGAATGTGGGCCTGAAAGTCACATAATGACCCAGGCTGAATCCTTGGAGTAGAGTTTCTTAAATTCTCTTGAACTTGATTTTCTGATCTATGTAATAGGGAAAATAATTCCTATTTTCCCAAACTGTAAATAATAGAAATAATGTAACATTATATGCCCATTAGAATTCTGGATGTTAGTTGCTCAAAAAAGTGATAGCCAGCATTATTACATTCTACTAAATGACTAGGAAAGAAGAGCTGCTATTAAGAGATTGAATTCCTGTGTTCTGAGTATAGATAAAAGCAATATTGTAGGTTGGGTGTGGTGGCTCATGCCTGTAATTCTAGCGTTCTGAGAGGCCGAGGCAGGAGGCTGCCCTGAGGTTAGGAGTTTGAGACCAGCCTGGATATGACTGAGATCCCGTCTCCATTGTGGCCCGTGTGCCTGTAGTCCCAGCTACTCAGGAGGCTGAGACAGGAGGATCACTTGAACCCAGGAGTTTGAAGTTGCTGTGAGCTATGATAATACTATTGCACTCTAGCCTGGCTGATAGAGCGAGACTCTGTCTCCAAACAAACAAACAAACAAACAAACACACACACACACACACACACCCCCCCCACAATATTGTGAGGTAGGAGCACAAATGGAATCTTTAGCAGAGAAGGACAAAGAAAGGATGGTAATCATGATAATGACATGGAAAGATAAGTACAGGTGGTAAAAACATTTTTGACCAAACCTGGCTGCTAAACTTCAAAAGCTGTAACACAGCAAAGCCAGTTTGGCTTTATAAATATCATGTATTTTACCTTTATCATTATCTTTCACAATTTGGGAACAGTGGTATAATTAGAAGTAACAAATCAAATCTGTTAGTGCTAAGCTCTTACAGTTAAAAACAATTAGATAGGTTGGAAAGATTCTTAAAGTCAATTACAGATTCTTGCTTGTGACCTAGCTTCCCAAAGCTGAATAATACCAGGGAAATTCTATTAACATACAAGACCCTTTTATAAAATCTGTAGAATCCCAAGCAGACAAATGCCAAAACTGACTGCTAAGTACGGGTTCCACTGAGGAGACCTGTGGGTCAGTCACAGAGGAGTATGAGCAAGCACTGGAGGCTGTGACCTGCCCCATGTCAGGGTCAAATCAATAATGTAACTTTCTCAATTATTCCCCTGGGAGTGAAAATGGAAAAGTCTGTAATGAGTTTGTCAGGATTATTGGACAGCACAGATATTCCTCAGATTTATTCTGAAGGAAATAAATCTTATTAGAGTCTTATATTAAGTTCCAGATTAAAACAAATATTTAATTTAATTATACACATGGGGAATCAATGACCATGTTTGATTGCATTTCGGTGCCTCAAAACAGGAACTTTTATATAATGTTCTCCAAGGGATCTATTTAGCCACACATGCTATATAAGAAATGGCATACTGATGATATTTTAATGAAAATTTTTAGTAATAAACATTATTGTATGGGGTGCAAGGCAGACCTATCTAAGCAGTGTGGTTTAGGAAGGAACCAAAATTCGAGATCTTAAGAAACAATAAGAAAGGAGAAAACAAAAGAAGACATGGATATTTCTAGAGAAATATACCATAAGGATATATATTTGTTAAATCAGGAATATAAACACATAGCTTACACAAATCAGTAATATGTAGATTAAAAACATCACATGAAAAAGGGAAAAATGAACCTGAACTGAACTATCTTTCCACTACTAGAGTAATAGGCTGAATGGACCAGTGCACTGACATGACAGAAGGTCAATGCAAAGCAAAAAGCTTCCAACCAAATATTTCTGAAAAGAAGCCTGCATATGCTCTATTTAAATTTCACTTCTGTTGTCTCATGTTTTTCTGGCAGTATAAATTCAAGAAAAAGGAGCTTTGCTATCAAAAGTATTATCATGTAGACTTCTATTATTTGTAACTTTCTATAAAACATGCTTTAAGGTATATAAATATATATTTAGGTCTTCAAATATTTACGTGTTCTCAAGAATCAGTAAACATGAGTAAATATTTATTGTACTCATATTTATCATGTCATGAAGGTAAGTTCATGAATTTATATAAAAATTTATAATTGCCAAACAGGATAAAGCAGAAGATACTAAATATTAATGTATATCAAGTTTAAAATGCCAATGGCTTTCCTTTCCAAGAGAATAAATATTTTTAAATATTGTAAGTAGTGATGGGGAGAGAGAAGAGTTTTATAAAGGAAGTAAAAGCATTAGATAAATAGTATTAACTAAAAGCAAATTTTAATTCAGCATGTATTGAAGTGGGAAATGGATTTTTATAATGTTTTCTCATAATTCATTTACAAAATTCATACATATATTATTCATTTGGCAAACACCTCCTTAGTGAAGGAGGTGCTTATCAGGTGAACAGGATGGATGTCCTGGAAGGAACTGGGAATATAGTGGTGAACAAGGCATAGATGGCCCTCCAGGGATTTATATAGTCTAGTAGTAGCAGGTAGGGGACAGACAAGTAAACCTGTTCTTGCAAAAAGGAATTACAAGTGCCCAGAGCATAGAATGAGGTAAGGTGGGCGAGGGAGGGGATCAGAGAAGGTCTTCTAGAAGAATGGTCTAAGCTAGGCGTCAAACTACGGCCCTCGGTCCATATGTGGGTGTTTTGCCCATTTGTTTTTTTACTTCAAAATAAGATACGTGCAGTGTGCATAGGTATTTGCTCATAGTTTTTTTTAAAACTATAGTCCGGCCCTCCAACGGTCTGAGGGACAGTGAACTGGCCCCTGTTTAAGAAGTTTGAGGACCCTGGTCTAAGCAGTAGGCATTCCACATATACCACTGAGGCTTAAGGGGAGGTTAGAATTAAAATCTCACATTTCATTATTTAGAATCCTATCACAACCTATGAAGTCATGTGGACGATGTAGAAATCCTCTTTCTTTTTTGTTTTTTTTTTTTGAGACAGTGTCTCACTCTGTTGCCCAGGCTAGAGTGCAGTGGCATCATCATAGCTCACTGCAACCTCGAACTCCTGGGCTAAAGTGATCTTCCTGCCTCAGCCTCCTGAGTAGCTGAGTCTACAGGCACACACCACCACACCCAGTTTGGCTTTTTTTTTTTTTTTTGTAGCAACAGGGATCTCACTATGTTGCCCAGGCTGATTTCAAACTCCTGGCCTCAAGCCATCTGCCTGCCTCAGCCTCCCACAGGGCTAGGATTACAGGCATGAGCTACCACACCTGGTCAGAAATCATCTTTCTAAAAAGAAAAGTCTTTTCACTTTAGTAAAAATGGATTTGATGTAGCTCCCCAAACTATTTTTCTAATTGAGCCATTTATCAATATTGTTTCCTTTGAATTATGGTCTCCACACATTTTCATTTGAACACTTCCATCACATTTACAGTTTTGGAAGTGGTAAGTGCTAGTTTCAGAGGATGCTGAAATACACACACCTTGGCCTGAACAGCACAGAGGATACATGGAAGGCATAATGCACAGCACATCATATCTTTAAGTATCCTGGCAAGCTACTTTTGACTCTGTGTTGATTCTGCTCTTGGACTGGACTCCATCCCTGTCACAGGACATCTCAGTGGCCCTGCCTACATACATCTCTTTACCATTTTTTTTGTTGTTTATATATTTTTGTTAAACTAAAAGCTATGCCGTGAAGATTTCCAACTGGGGAGATAGATGGGAGGTGTTTGGGTTGGGAAAGGGGTGGGTGACAGCCCTAAGCACTGAGGGACAAGAAGCAGTGCTGCTTAGTGAAGGAGCCTTCCTCTTTTCTTTCTCCAGATACATTTCCAAGGCCTGAGGGGAATAAGAGAGCCACCTGGAGACATTTGTAACAGCAAAAATATAACCACATAGTCTTTCAATGACAAATGATAATATATCTAAAAAGTAGAGTAGGAAAAATAAAAATGAAACTATGTTGGAAAAAATATTCTCTTACCATAATATGTAAGATATTCTGCTGTGTGTAAAAATGTCAATGAAACCAGAACATTGAAAATCCAGTTTATTCCAGATGAACATGCGTTTCCTGTACTTCTTGCCCAAAGGGGATATATTTCAGAATTTACAGTCCAAGGCATTGGTCCCATTCCTGAGAAATAAAAAATTTAAAACTTTAGTAAAATAGCATGTAATAAATTTGAAAAACAGTAACCTGTCTTCCCTAAGAAGATGCCATTTAATTAACACAACAAAAACAAAGCCTTATTTACCAGGTGCGAAGAAAACAAGATACAAAATAAGGCCCAGAAGTGCAGTCCAGGAATATGGAGTAGGGCAGAAATTATAAGCCCAAAATACGTCTTCTGTTTTGAACTTGGTTTCATTTTCACACCTGCAAAATAATGCAATATAAAGATTAACAATGTTTTAGAGTATAGTTGCAGAAATTCAACATGTTCATATTGAATGTATTTGGAAATGCCTTAAAGTCTTGAGAAAAAGGTACAAAAGGTTTTCTTGAAGAAAACTTAAGAAGTAAACATAGATTATAAGATTAGATATATATAAGCTCACATACAACTTTTTAGAGCTAAATGTCATTCAAGAGCAACACGAGGGAATATGTTTCACACCCATTAGACATGATTTCTAATTAGTCCTTGGAAACTGCAGTAACACACAGAGAGTTGATAGGTTGTGGTTGAAAGACCTTGGAATTTGCAGTCAGGACAAGATTCAAATTTCAGAACCAGATTTTTTTCATCTGTAAAATGGGGATAATACCTTATTGTCTATTTTAAGGATTAGAAGAATCACCTGTAAAGGGGTGACAGGGTAGAAGAGAGAAGCAATAGGATAGGGAACAATGATTACATCTGATTCCAAATAACCCTTCCCTTCCTGCTTTGTGTCCTTGCTTGCTTCTCTATCAGTCAGTCCATGATGACCTTGCCTTCTTGTTGTGTATGGAAGCAAAGTGCCCTATGGTTTAGACTGATCTTCAAGTTGAACTTCCAATTCTTTACCTTAATTGCCACTGAAGATACTATCAGCCTCACAAACATTCATATCCCCTATGGTCAGTTTAGACTATTGTTCTGCCTCCTTCCACCTGTCTTTGAACCTGTCTTTGACGGCCAAGCCCTGTTGTTGTTACTGTGTTTATGAGCTCATCATGGCACTTCATCTGTCTTGATAATCTGGGTGCCTGGTCAGTCCACCCCATTTCATCCCCTGTCACATTTATTTATTTTGCATTCTGGTTCATAATACATTGGCCTAACAGTTCCTTATTTAATCTCTGAAACTACAGAGAGGGCACTTTACAGTTTGCTTGATTTGGACTATTTTACTTCAACATTCAAACTTTGTATTTTACTTCAATACCTTAAACTTTGAGCATTTCTTTTCTGATCACAGCCACTTTATATCCTCATTTTGATAACTGCACCACGCTCAAATCAAAGTCTTTAGATTCTAAATTCCCCTTAGTATTCATTTACCTCATCACTCAGCTTATACCAATGCCAATACAGGCATACCTCAGAGATATTGCAGGCTGGGTTCCAGAACACTGCAGTAAGTGAATATATCAATAAAGCAAGTCACAAATATTTTGGTTTCCCAGTGCATAGAAAAGTTATGCCTACGCTCAGTACTGTTTTCTATTGAGTGTACAATAGAATTATGTCTAAAAAAACCAATGTATACCCCTTAATTAAAACATACTGTATTGCTAAACAATGCTAAAGATCATCTGAGCCTTCAGCAAGTTGTAATCTTTTTGCTGGTGGAGGGTCTTGCCTTGATCTTGATGGCTGCTGACTGATCAGGGTGAAGGCTGCTAAAGGTTGGGGTGGCTGCGGGAATTTCTTAAAATAAGACAACAATGAAATGCATCAATTGACTCTTTCATAAAATATTTCTCCGTAGCATGCAGTGCTGTTTGACAGCATTTTTCCCATAGAACTACTTTCAGAATTGGAGCAAACCCTCTCAAACCTTGCTGCTGCTTTATCAGAATAGTGTAAATCTTTTGTCATTTCAACAGTGTTCACAGCATCTTCACCAGTACAGTCCTCTTCAGAAACCACTTTCTTTGCTTATTCACAACAAGTATCTACTCATTCGTTACAGTTTTATCATGAGATTTCAGCAATTCAGTCACATCTTCAGGCTCTACACTTCTAATTCTAGTTTTCTTGCTTTTTCCACCATATCTGTAGTTATTTACTCCACTGAAGTCTTGAACCACTCAAAGTCATTCATGAGGCTTGGAATCAACTTCTTCCAAACTTCTGCTAATGTTGATCTTTTGACCTCCTTCCAAGAATCACAAATATTCTTAATGGCAACATCTAGAATGGTGGATCCTTGCCAAAGGTTTTCAATTGACTTTGCCCAGATCCATTGGAGGAATCACTATCTATGGCAGCTATTACTTTATGAAAAGTATTTCTTAGAGATGAGATTTGAAAGTTGAAATTACTCCTTTATCCATGGGTGCTGTGTTAACAGGAATGAAAATAACATTCATCTCCTTCTACATCTCCCTCAGAGCTCTTGGGTGACTAGGTACGTTGTCAATAAGCAGTAATATTTTGAAAGAAATATTTTTTTTTCTGAGCAGTAGGTCTCAACAGTGGGCAACCATGCTGTAAACACATGTGTTGTCATCCAGGCTTTATTGTTCCATTTATAAAACACAAGCAGAGCAGATTTAGCATAATTCTTAAGGGCCCTAGGTTTTTTTGAATGATAAATGAGATATCAATGGCCAGGCACTGACTTCTCCTCTCTAGCTATGAAAATCCTAGATGGCACCTTCTTCCAGTGGAAGACTCCTTCATTATCTACATCTGTTGTTTAGTGTAGCCACCTCCCTCAATTATCTTAGCTGGATCTTTTGGATAACTTGCTGCTTCACCTTGCACTTTTATGGAGACAGCTTCTTTTCTTAAACTTTGTGAACCAACCTTTGCTAGCTTCAAACTTTTCTTCTGCAGCTTCCTCACCTCTCTCAGCCTTTACAGAATTGAAGAGAGTTTAAGATCTTACTCTGCATTAAACTTTGACTTAAGAGGATATCATGGCTGGCTAATGGTGCTGACAGACTTGTTCAATGTGGGGTTACCAATAACCTTCACTTTGTAAAAAACACAGTATCGGCAAAGCTTAATAAAGCAAAGTGCAATAAAACAAGGTATGTATTATCTTCACTTGCCTCGAGAATCCTTCCTCCATTCTTATCTGCCATTCTCACCATTTCACTTCCTAACCTTGTGTGGTACCATTACCTTCCTTCAACTACCTCTCAGAAGCTGGCCAAACTTATGAAACCATGATGTTGGGCTCTATAAAAAGTTCACACTATTTCATCTCTGTTGGGTCTCTATTGCTTATTTTATCCTTTATTGTCTTCTCTACTAATTCTCTACTTATTTCAGAGTAGACTTTCAATAGTTTTGTTAACCATTGCCTTAGTTAATTAAAATATTCCTTATCTTCCAGTCCTGAAATCTTTCCCTCTGCTTTCTATAGATGAACATCCCTCCTTCTTAAAGAAATTCATAAAGAGGAATTGAGGACCTTCAATTTGAACATCAATTTTTTTCTACTCAACCTCCACTTTTCAATACTTTTGTTTTTGAAAAAATTTTTTTTTTTTTAAATGCAAAGTAGTCTTTTCTCCTACTTCCAATAGTACCATGCATATCTCTCTCTACCCATTTCTAAGGACTGCTCTTCCTATCTATGGTCTTGCAGCATAGTTCCTTTTGCCTCCTCTGGGGTCATGTTCCATGGGCAGTGTATCCTTTTTCTGCCGTTTTTATTTTCTTGCTACTTGGGCCTTTCCCTCCTGTCTGTAACAACAAGATATCTTCTATTCTACCTCTCTTATATTACTGCTACTAGCTCTCCCAAAATCACAGAGAAGTTTATACTCATGAGGTCCACCTCACTACCAATCTTTCTTCCATAGCCAAGCTTCCCCACCCTCCCAGATGCTAGCTGACTCTTACTCAGCCTCTGTTTTCCTCAATCTGCTCACCCAAAAGTCTCCGATCACCTTCTAATCTCCAAATTCAGTCTTCGCGTCTTATTCTTGCTGTTCTTTGATTACTCTGTGGTGGCTGACACTGCTGACAGCCCTCCTTCCTTCTCTTCTCACTTTGCTTTTGCATCTTTATCTCCATCTTATATCTCTCTGACCTGTATGTATTCATTGCTTTTTAAAATATCTCTTATACTTCTCAACCTCTAAATATAGGTATTTTCTAAGGTTTTATTTTAGGGCCTATACCCTTTCATAATCATCTCATCTAATTTTAGGGCTCTGTAATCTCTACGTGGATGCTCCTCAGTAGTTTATTCTAGCATTGACCTTTTCTCAAGCTTCACTGATGGAATTTAGGTTTCTGCTGAACATCTAGATACCCTGCTCTGGCCGCATACATAATACGGCTACAATGGCATGCACGGTTTTCTCCAGGAGGCAAGAGTGGGGGCTGTTCTGAGTTCAAATTGTGACTCTACCACTTACTAGCTATGTGCGTTCATTACAAAATTTATATAATGAGCACTGCTCATGTGTCAGACATTAGAGGTAATAGCTACAAATAAAATGACCACTGGTGCATTTGTGGAATCCTGAGTTTAGTAGGCACTGGCCTGGTCCTGTTTCCTGTCCTGTAAAACAGGACAAAGGACTGTATCACAGGCTGTTGGGAACATCACCTGTTCCATGTGCATAAGAATACTATGTCTGCATGCTGAGTGCTTCACATACTGCCTGGCATATAGTGTATGCACAATGAACATGACTTTACTAGTGTCCTCATGACATTGCTATTTTAATTAACACAACCTTTCCCTGAACTGAAATGGCTTAAAATATTGGAGTTATTGTCATTGTTTTCTTACCCATTTCACTTCAGGTCCTCTATAAAGTCCAAATAAAGCAGAGTGGCTATGGCTATGAGCTTTGGCACTGACAACCTAGATGTGAAGCTAGGATATATATATCTCTAGGTACTTAACTTCTCAAAGCTGTGTCTACCTCAAGGAGATATTCTGAGGCTTAGGTGAGATAATGTATACGAGGAATTTCACATGGTACAGGCAAGAAATCATATTTCCTAGACATAATTTCTTGAATCCCACTCTTCCTTTCTATTCGCATTAATACCACCCTAATTCAGATTCTGAGTGTTAGTCCCAACAACTGCATCTGTCTCTGTGGCAGGCAGACTAGAGCAGCCCTACGATCCCTGTTTCCTGATTTTCATGCCCTTGTGTAGTGCCCTCCCCTGAAGTGTGGAGTGGCCTTGCTTCCAACCAACAGAATAAGGCAAACATGACAGGACAGATGTGATTAAGTATGTAAGATTA